TTGCCATCGAGATATATTCAGCAATAAAGATCAACATAAGGAAAAGGGTAATGCAGCGATTACCAATTTCAGGAACTCAACAAAACAGATTCGGAGTAATCTGGGAAAAAAATTTACGAGATCAAATGGCTATCGAAGAACAAAATTTTGTACAAAATCTGGAAACCCAAATCGACATTCGAAACCACCAACACCAAATCGACAAAATCAAAACCCAAATTTCATCAATCCGTACCAAATCGACATTAAAAAAAAGTGAAATCGAGCACTTACAGATGCAGAGATTTGTGAGCTCCAACCGCAGATCCGCCGGTCTCAGCCAGCGACGAACGGAGATTTTGGAGACTCCGCCGCCGACAGTCGCAGGAGATAAACGGAGAGAGGGAGTCCGAGAGATAGAAGAAAAATAAACGGAGGAAGAGAGCGAGGTTGAGGCTGAGAGAGGCTGAGGGAGGGTGAGGTGAGAGAGCGAGAGCAGGCTGAGAGGCTGAGGCGAGAGAGCACGAGCGGAGGGAGAGGCTGAGAGTTAGTCAGGTCTAATAGCTTCTTTCAGGGCTTGTACTTGATAGAATTGCTCATTAATAATTCCCTGAGAAAAATATGTAATTACAGAAAAGGCACATCACCATAAACCCTAACAGTAGATTCTCAAAATTAACCACATTCAGAAATGGAAAATCTTTCGCTATCAAATTGACATAACTATGAAAATTTTCAATTACTCGATCAAGAACGTATCAGTATTGGAAGAAAAAAAATCAAAAACAGAGAAATAAATACAACACAGTACTTTAATAGATTGAAACAGCATTGAAAGCGATTGTTTCACAATGCAAACAATTTGAAGCGAGAACTGCCAAACACCGATCAGAATGCAAATCGATTAATGGAAACAACAAATACAGATCACCAAAACGCAAAGAATTGGAACACAAGAGAGATTCTTGTTCGATCGTTTTTTCTTTTTCTTTTTTTTTGTTTGTTTCGGAGGATTTTGAAACCATAGTTGATGGAGCAAAAGAGGGATAAAGGTGAAGGATACGAAGGAGAAAATGCCGTACCTCATCGTACATTGACCGAACGAATCCGTGGAGCAAAGCTTTCTGAAGAGCCAAAGCCACTTTTCTTTCTTTCACTTTCTCGGGCGCCAGACAACAGCCACTGGGAGGGGCTGAGAGTGTGCTCGAGGACGAGGAAGAGAATCGGGTTATTTTGGGAATAACCAAAATTTCATTAATGGCTGAGTTTGGATTCCCGGATAATCTGAAATCAGAAGCAGCTTGTGAGCTGCTTCTGATTTCAGCCAAAAAACAGCTTCCGGCTTTTTTAAAAATTTATTTTTATGTGTTTACCAAACACCATTTTCAGCTTTAGCTGAACAAAAAAGTGCTTTTGACTTCCTAGAAGCATTACCAAACGGAGCCATAATAGCGTACTATAAGATTTCTTAGATTTATTTAGTTCAAAACATCAAATAAATGGTTTGAACCAATTTATTACCTTCCACATAAATCCGTTTTCAGAGATACTAATGTTTCGGCGAAACGTTTCTCTCTTTCAAAGATTAACTTGTTCATTTGCGTTTTTAGAGATTAACTTGAGTTTTAACTTGAATTTATAGCTAAAATCTGAGTTCAAACTTGTTCATTTGAGTTCAAGTTCCTTTTTCAACTCAAATTTCTAAACTCAAACTCAAGTTAATGAACAGTATTTTTTTTACTCTTAAAAACGCCATAATTTTTTTTAAATTCCGATTGAGATGATTTTTTTATGCGTTCACAACGAAAAGACGAATAAAACCTCACTCACATACCCTATTAAAATTTTCTATCACCATTGAGTTTTTATTAAAATACTATCTAAATACAAATTCAAGTTTTGACCCACCCAAATACAAACTCAAATAAATTATCAATTCAAATACAAACTAAAATGTGCACATCTAAACACAAACTCAAATTAGAGTCTCAACTCAAACCATACTCAAATACATTTTAACTCAAATTAAGATCTAAACTTAAGTCACGGTAACTCAAAAAATACAAATGAACAAGCCCAAGTTACTAACTCACAAGAAGGTTAAGGGAAAAAAGCTAAAAATTGTAGTAAATGGGAAAAATATCAAGCAAACTTTTTTTTTCGTCTTATCTCTAGCTCAAGAAGTTGTATTTTTTGTTAATAAAAGTGTTTTCATATTGAAAATAAAAATTAAGAAGTTTAAATTTTTTTGTTCAAATCAAAAAATTTTAAACTAATAAAATTCAAATGAACTAAGGCTTAGTTTGATAGTGCTGTGGATTTTAAAGAAAATTACTTTTAGCTGTGCTAAAGGAAGAAGTAGTCGAGTGTTTGTAAACTGTAATTATAATAGTTGTGCTGGTTCTAAAATCAGTGTAATAACGTTTAGTAAATTTTGATGTTGAATTGTTGTGGGTATGTAAAATGACCAAAATAGACATGGTATGAAACTTAAATATATATAATTATTTTTGATATTTAGTAATACAAAAACATAATGCTATGATTTTGAGTTTTTTAACAATAAATTTATGATAATTAATTCTTTTTTTAATCTTTTTATTCATAATATAATTACAACTAAAAGGAGCATTAGTGAGTAATCAATTTGTTGAACAAAAAAGTACATTCCATGTTCAAAAACTGACAGAGTTATTAAAAGAATTAAGTTGTGTTCATTAAACTTGTCACAATTTGATCTCGTACTTCATCCATTTCTTGTGATAGTGAAGCTTCATCTTCTTCTACATTGTCCTCCAGGTGATGCTCTTCATAAGCGAAAACATCAAGATTATTCTCAACTTTTTGAAAATGTCGATCACACTTATCATGCATCCTAATATAGTTATGAAGCGTCATTGTTGCAATAACTATTTTTACTTACTTCGTAAATGAATAATTAGGCATGTCTCAAAAATTTCTATTTTTTCTTTCAGACACCAAAAATGCGTTCAGTGACACTTCGAAGAGAAGAATGTACTTGATTGAATACCTCTTTACTGCCTGTTGGTCAACGACCCATTCGAAATTGTGATAAATGGTATCGTTCTCCTTTATAAGGTCCAACATGAATACAACAAGAAGACCATAATGAAAGAGAATAACAAAGTCTCAACCATCAATACAACAAGAAAACCGCACTAAAAAGAAATGCGGAATGAAAATCTAAGTGGAGGATCCTAGCCCATGTTCAAACTTAAGCCAATTGAGCTTCAACTTAAGTTCCTTAAAAGCCATAAATGCCTCTCTTATTTTTGTCTAACAACAAGTGGACTGAAAAGAAATACAACTCGCTACCAATCTGTAATCCTGGTAATGAATCTAGAACTTCAATAACTTTTGTTATGCTATAGTTTCCAGCGTCAGATTGCGCAATCGATGATCCGGTATGGGCAGTTGAATGCGGACGCAATCAGTTTGGTGTATTTTCCATCTGCATCTTTATCATTGTCCATTGATTGCAAAACGGAAAGCCCATTAACCTTCATGTTCAAACCATCCTGAGCCATTGAAAACCATACTTACGTCAAATTTTCACACACAAAAAAGAAGACTACTTCGAAAATAAAAAAGAAAAAGTACCTGAGAAGGGGAGAAGACAGTTGGGATAAATCCTGATCCAACGAAGAGTCTTCTCCTAAAATTCGGTATTATAGGGATGAATCAGTGACAAACTTTTGAAATTTTGGTAATAAGAAACGAGAAGAGATGATGATTTACGAGTGAAAATACATTCCTAGTACTCTCGAGAAGAGATGAAGATTCAAATGCTTAAATAACCATATTCATGAACTATAATCAAAGTATGTGAATACCCATGTTCATAGGATTAGATCATCATTTAGATTCCAGGTTTGGAAAATCAAATACCTCCCACAACCTTTCAGGGGAAACCTCATCAAAGACATCTAAAGTCAAGGATGAAGAACACACATACAATCCATATAAATATGCGTGTGTGCAGAAATGAAATATAGCTAGGAATTCTGATGTCCACACATTACAAAGGAATAAACACTAAAACACAACAAAAACTGACCAGACAATATTAGTTAAGGACTTTATAGAGCAACTGTTTAACAAAGTTTCGATTTCGATTACTATACTAAACGTATCAATTTAAGCCACTAATAAACAAAATTGGAGGTGGCAAAACTAGTGATGGGGCTTTTTAAAACTCACAGCAATAAATCAAATTCAAATATGAAACTCCTTTTGTGGGCAATTCAGAGAACTTAAGAAATTGGTTCTTGTTCTTCTTCCATTTCGCACATTCGACAAGAGAGAAGAGTATTGAGGAAAACGGGCCGTGCTCGCGAGGAACCCAGTCAGGACCCTCAAAGCTTTCCACGCACACAACAGAATGTTGCAGTCGTATTTCCCACTCCCATCCCCCTTCGGCAACTTACATATGCTCACGCATTCTAAAGAAACTACATGAAACCAGAAACCAAATATTACTCAAAAACCTCAAAATACACGAACGACAAACATCATCAACAACCGAATTCTCAAATTATCAATCGCAATTCACTTCGATTCTTCAATATTTCAACCAAAAATACAAAAAATAAAATAAAAATAAAAATAAAAAACATACCCCACATGCCCTTACAGTAAAGCAAATTGATAGAATCGAATAAAAAAATCCCGGTGAAAATAGAACCAAAATGGAGAGCAACGAATCCAGAGCAAAAAATTTCAGTGAAACATAACCAAATCGATATCGAGTACTTACAGAGGCGATAATCTTGATATGATGAGCTCCAACCAACAATCTCACAATCGCACGACGAGATCACGAAACCCTAACCACCACAGCCCTGTCTGACCGAGAGAACAGAGAGAGAGTCTGCCAAACTTCAATCGCATGAGGAGATCGAACCCTGACGAGCATAGAGGGAAACCGAGAAAACAGAGAGAGAAGAGAGAGAAACGGAGAGAGAAAGAGAGCACAAAGAGAGAGTAAAGAGGGAGGCGAGTGAGCTCGAGGGAACAAGACCGCGAAGAGCAAAAAAATTTTGGGTATGGAATTGTTTTCATTCAGCAGGGGTAAAATCGGTAATGACGAAAATTTCATTAAAGAATCCCGCACAATCTAGAATCAAAATGAGCCTTTAGGCTCCTTCTGATTTTGCCTTCAAATTCTCCCCTAATTCTTTCGGAAGCACTTTTTCACGTTTTTACCAAACGCAAAAAATGACTTTAGCAAAATCTATATCAAACTAAACCTAAATAGGAGATAAAAGAGTTCATTCCCACCCAAAAGTTCAAGAATATGTTTTTTGAAGTGATAGAGTTTTGAGAGCGTGTTGTGCATCTTCACAAAACTTGGGAAAGGCCCTACAATAACAAAGGGCTTTTAGCGCTTTTAATGTTTTTTTTTTTTTTTTTTTGACAAATTTCCCTCTAACCCTAATTTTATCCTTTTTTTCTCTAAAAATACTTCATCATAATTTATTTCCTTCCCTTCCCACTCTACCAAACAGGCCAAAACATAATTATAATATTTTTCCTCACAAAAATTTAAATTTAATTTTTTTTATTATAATATTTTTCTCTACATACGTAAAAGTTAAACAAACATACCTAATATTATTTTTGTGAGTGTCTATGGTAGTGACACTACTTTTTCCCCACCAGTAGAGTACGAAATTATCAACCATTGGATTGCTTTTAAATGGCTCAAATTAAAATGCTACACCGAATTACAATACGACCTTCTACACTTGATCACATCTTTCTTTACATTAAAAAATCAATTTTTATCATAATAAATCTCAACCATTGATCAGATTAAACTTTTAATCCTAGCCTTTAATTTTAAAACATGTCAAAACCCCAAATTAATCATTGAACTTCTCCATAGCTGCCTGCCACCCTACTAGAAGCTTCACCGCCGGCGATGACGCACTTTGCCCCACCCCCAACGACGAACGTCACCCCTGAACCCCGGCTGCACGACTCACCTACAGCGGCGCGATCTTCATCCCACTGTGCAATCTCCCCACATTGGCGCAAATGGCTCCTCCTTCGACACTCGATGGTGACAATTTCAAAACATATAGGACTATACCCAAACCGCAAAACTATCCTTCGTCCATGCTGGCAACTTCCTCCGGCGGTAGGGCGATGTCTCCCACCATCGATCAAAACAGATTCTTCTCCATTGATCTTTTCCCACTCTCTCTCTTCGCGGAGACGAACGCTGGCATGCTCCCTTGTGATGGAAGACACCATCTTCCCGTCCTCTGGATGAGGAGATCTCGATCTCCCTTATATCTCCCTGTCGATCTATTCCCCCTTTCACTCCCATCGGACGAACGCCGGCCGTGCTTCCTCGCGAACTCCGTCAATGAAGTTCTGGTGTTGAGCGAGCTACGCCGGCCTCTTAGCACCTAACCTCACCTCTCCAAGGCAGGGCGAATCCTCTGAATCTCCCCGGTCGGCGATGGCTACTCATCGGCAACGACATCGACAATACTCCATTAGTTTTTTTCTCTGTTCATTTTTTTTTAATTTTGAGATTTTTGCTAGATGTGGTGTGGTGGGTTTTATTTTAATTTCTTGCTCCATCATTCTCGACCGCAGGATTTATATCTGGCGGCTTTTATGTTCATCTTACCGGTAGAGAATTTCAAGTCCCCCACATGCCCTTATTATTTTTCCCTTCCAGTTTCCATTAATTCCTCGAAACTTCCGCAACCTGATCCAAAGAAAAAGCCAGTAAACTTCGAAAATAAAGAATTAAAAAAAAACAAAAATATAAAGAAAAATAAAAATAAAAATAAAAATAAAAATAAAACAAGGGATTTTGACTCGGGAGCCAGTTTGGTAAGGAAATTCCACAAACGTGCCTTGTCCCCCGATCACCCTCCCCAATCAAGCCACATTCAAAACTTTCCCCAATTACCTCATTTAAAAAAAACAGGAAAAAAAAAAAGAAAAAGAGAAAACATTTACGATTAAAGAAAGCGCTTCGAGTTCAGATTTTAGGGTTTTTTTCTCTCTCCTTCCAAAACTCTCTCTCACATTCCCAACGGAAGAGAGAGAGAGACAGAAACAAAGCGGTCTTCTTCTTCCGTTTTCTCTACTTTTTCCCTCACTTTCTCGCTCTATTTCCTCTTCAATGCTATTAGACTTCAATTTTCTTTCCTCCCAAACAGATCTTTTTCTCGGAAAGATTTCGCTTCTTTTTTCTCCAAATTCGCAGACTTTATCTCCGAACTCCGGCCCTAAACCCCAATGCAGGTCCCCGATTCTGACGATCCCACTCCCGAAGCCGCGGAATCCCCCGAGGAAGCGAAGAAATCAGAGCCGTCGAATTCGCCGACGGTGGCCGGCGACGCCGGCAACGGCGACGATGAATCGGTCCTCGACGTTTCCGGGAGGAGCATGGAGTTCTCGATGATAGAGGACGTGGACGACGCCGTTCGGGGTTTGTATTTGTACAAGAACGCGTTCAATTTGATACCGAAATCGGTTGGCTTTCTTGGGGGTTTGAGGACGTTGAAGTTCTTCGGGAACGAGATTAATTTGTTCCCCTCGGAGATTGGGAGCATGGCGGGCTTGGAGAATTTGCAGGTGAAGATTTCGTCTCCGGGTTTCGGCGGCTTGCGGTTGCACAAATTGAAGGAATTGAAAGAGCTTGAGCTTTCCAAAGTGCCTCCTCGGCCTTCGTCTTTTCAGATTCTTAGCGAGATTGCTTCGCTTAAGTGCCTCACCAAGCTCTCCGTTTGTCACTTCTCAATAAGGTTAGTTGAAATTTGGGGGTTTTTTTTTGCCTTTTCCAATTTTGAATTTTTAACAATGTTAAAACTTCCATTCCGTTCAATTGCATTTCGTTTTAAAGACAGGAACTTGTTTTAATATTGTTTGATTTTTGTATTTGGGAAGTTGGGATTTTTGTTATTTGGAGTTCGGAGTTTTTTTAACAATGCGAAAACTTTTAAATTACTATTGGATTTTGTCAATTCCGTATTAATAGAATCATAGAAAAACATGGAATTGTTTTAAAATGGTTCCTTTTGTGGCGTGGTTGGATTTTTATTGCAGATATCTTCCTTCGGAAATTGGGTGCTTAAAGAAGTTGGAGTACCTAGATCTTTCATTCAATAAGATGAAGAATTTACCAACTGAAATTGGTAATTTAAGTGAACTAATATCATTGAAAGTTGCTAATAATAAACTGGTGGAGCTTCCCCCGGCTTTATCGTCCCTACAAAGGTTAGAGAGCTTGGACGTGTCAAATAACAGGTTGACATCGTTGGGGTCACTTGAACTCGGCTCGATGCATAGCCTTCAGAATTTAAATATTCAGGTGCTTACTTGTTGTATTTGTAACCTAGTACTTGTATATGTCAATTGTTCCCCTTTTGAGTTTCACATTCTTTTAATAGTTTGCAATGGCAGCATCCAAGTTACTTTCTTAGTTCAGTGTTTTTTTCTTTTCAATTTTGATTAAATTGTTGATAAAGTTTTTGTATTTATGGTTCAGTACAATAAACTTTTGACATATTGTCAAATACCTTCCTGGATATGCTGCAATTTGGAAGGAAATGGTAGAAATGCGTCCAGTGATGACTTCATTAGTTCATCAGTTGAAATGGATGTCTATGACAATGACATTCAAGAATGTGATGGAAGTCTCTCTCGTAAAGGTAAGGACCATGAAACTAGTTTTGGTAGTCCTTTTTTCATTATTACATTTCTCTTTTGTATGGTCGTTCTCGCATGCATGAAACCAATGTAATATTGTTTAAACTGATACAGGTGCTCATCATACCTTTCCAAGTCTAATAAATGGATCAGTATCCAACTGTAGATCTTTTGGAGCAAGGAAGTCAGGTAAAAGGTGGAAGCGCAGGTATTATTTGCAGCAGAGAGCTCGCCAAGAGCGTTTAAACAACAGCAGGAAATGGAAATGCATGGATCATACCAAGTTGTTACCTTTGAAAGAGGATGGAAACTGCAAACCTGGAAGCTTAGATGTTCTTCCTTCTAAGGCTTGCACAGAAGGAACACCTGAAATTATAGGCCTGGATGATGATGATAAAGAAATACTTTCTGGGGATGGTGAAGTTGAAAATCTTCCCAACAGTGGTGAGGATAATGCTGAGAAATGCTCGTGTGTCACTGTTGAATCTACGGCAATGAATAGAGAGGATAAATATGATTCTTGTGACCATGATGAATCTTTGGCCTCAGTTCAAAATGAACCTAGTGATGAGGATGAAGATTCATCAGCAGACGTAAAAAATAATTTTAAGTCCAAGAGGCACTCAGATAAGGATCTTGATAACCCCAAACCATGCAAGTCCCGGAAATCTATTGACAGTAGTGCAAGTTTGTCGCGCAAGTATAGTAATGTTTCATTATGTAGCATTGAGGATTGCCTTCAAGATGGATTTTTTGATGCGGGACGTGACCGGCCCTTTATGCCATTGAGGAATTATGAGCAAAGTTTTCATATCGACTCACGTGAAGTTATTATTGTGGACAGGTTATTTTATACTTGTACTTTGTGCGAATAATATATAGGCATCACTTGCCCCTGTTTCTGGTTAAAGGGTGGCATTTGTATTGGCATATTGGTTCTCAACCATAAATGACTTAAACTGTTTGTTCTTACCTTCAGGAAAAGGGATGAAGAGTTAGATGCAATTGTACTATCTGCGCAAGCATTGGTTTCTCGATTGAAGAAGTTAAATTGCTTAATCAGAGATGGGGATTGGGTCAATGAGCTGCAGATTGCGTCATTGCTTGCTCTTTTTGTATCTGATCATTTTGGTGGCAGTGACAGGGGTGCAATTATTGAAAGGACTCGAAAAGCTGCATCTGGTTCAAACTACCAGAAGCCTTTTGTTTGCACCTGCTCAACAGGAAACAGAGACAGTATCAATATACAAACCAAACCAACAGAAGAGTGTACTGACAATGTCGTTTTTTCTGATCTCTGTGAAAAATCGCTCCGTGCAATCAAAGGGAGACGAAATTCAATCGTAGTTCCTTTAGGGACTTTACAGTTTGGTGTGTGTAGACATAGAGCATTGCTAATGAAGGTAATTCTTTTACGACATTCATGTTTATGAATCTGTTTGCGAGGAGCCTTTTTTTTTTTTTTTTTTTATTTCTTTGACCGTCTGTTTTGTATCATGATCTAATGAAACCGCAATTGCTACAGTATCTATGTGATCGAATGGAGCCTCCAATTCCTTGTGAACTTGTAAGGGGTTACCTGGATTTTATGCCACATGCATGGAATACTATTATCGTTAAGAGGGATGATTCATGGGTTCACATGCTAGTTGACGCTTGCCATCCACATGATATAAGAGAAGAAACAGACCCAGAGTATTATTGCAGGTTTGTGTGTGTGTTATGACTTATGGTCTTTATTTTTTGTGTGCGTGTGTGTGTCTCAAGGCGTTTTATTTACGTGGTCATGTTTTCTTCAACTTTTGCTTTAAAATGGGCTACTCCTTCTGTTTATGTTGTCTTAATTGCTATACTTAGTTGTTTGTTACTGTTTGATTTCCTCCCTTGGGGATGGTTGATTTTGCTTACTATTTCTACATTCTATACACATATCCCTGATAGATTACTTTTTGCAGGTATATTCCCCTTAGTCGGACTCGGACCAAAGTATCGTCTTCCAGTGGAAGAAGGATTGCTCCAGGTGATTCCTTTCCTTCACTGTCCTCCTCAGATGAAGTTTTTAAAGCAGCTTCTAGTTCGCTTGTACGCTGCAAATATGGAGCAGTTGAGGCAGCAGCAAAGGTATGTTCTTTGATAAATCCTGTTGTGCTTCTGTTTTGCCTAGTTGGAAATTTTGTAGCAATTTTTCTTGCCCTTTTGCATTCAGTTATGGTGGTATCTATTTTGATATCATGTAATCTTGTAACACTTTCTTGAGCTTTTAGGACTGCCACTAGTTACATTAATGGTTATACAAGTTTCTATACTAATCTTTGCAAATGGAGTTAATTTACATGTCAGATCCCAATTTTGTAGTTTCATATACTCAGATGGTAACATTTATTTTTGACACTTCAATTATTAACTTCTTATTAAGTCATATTGATTGAGAAATGAAGATGGGTATGCCTAATTGTTGGTTGGTGCAGGTTCGTACTTTGGAAGTTTGCAGGACTTCAGCAGATGATATTAGGAATTTTGAATATGGTTGCTTAGGGGAAGTGCGAATTTTAGGTGCTCTACAGCACTCTTGTATAGTAGAAATGTACGGTCATCGGATATCTTCTAAGTGGATTCCATCGGTGGATGGAAGCCCTGAGTGTCGTGTATTACAGTCTGCTATATTGATGGAGTACGTAAAAGGGGGATCTTTAAAGGTAAGTTTTATAGCTAGTTAGAACCATTATTTGCCTGATTTGCCTTTTGATTTATCTTGATGATTATTATGCCTATTGCATACAGGGTTATATTGAAAAGTTATCTAAAGCTGGTGAGAAGCATGTACCCGTGGAGTTAGCATTATGTATTGCTAGAGATGTTGCCTCTGCATTAGTGGAGCTGCATTCAAAACACATCATCCATCGTGACATAAAAAGTGAAAATATTTTGATTGATTTGGACAGTAAGAAGGCTGATGGAACACCTGTTGTGAAGCTTTGTGATTTTGATAGAGCAGTGCCTCTTCGTTCTTTATTGCACACATGCTGTATAGCTCACGTAGGAGTCCCTCCACCCAATATTTGTGTTGGAACACCTCGCTGGATGGCACCTGAGGTTCTACAAGCAATGCACGATCATAATGTTTATGGAATGGTAAGATATTCAGCTTGGCACAGGTTTTTCAACTGCTGATTCATGAAATGCCAACTTTACTACTCCTTAGTTTATTGTCTCCGCTGATGGCCCTATGCATGTTAAGATCTTTCTGTATATCAAGTTTTTGCTTGATTGAGTGTTGTCGCTATGCAGACTTTAGAAAATGTCCGAGATTATGTTCTAGTGGATAGCTATTTTTATATTTAATTAATTAGCTCGCAGCAGCATTGTTTTTAGCTTTTTCTTTTCTTTTTTTTTTTGCTCAAGTTTCATCTTTTCTCTGGTTGCAGGAAATTGATATTTGGTCATTTGGATGCCTGCTTCTGGAAATGTTGACCTTGCAAATTCCTTATTTAGGATCATCTGAAGTAGAAATTCACGACCTTCTTCAGGTATCCCTTCCTTGCCCTCTCCCTTTCTCTATAAATCCTTTCCGCTCTCTCCCTCTCTCTCTCCCCCCTCACACACACGCGCACACACACAAAAACACATTATGATCCTTTTAGGAATCTCAGTAATAAGTTGAACAATGTGTTGTGTACTTGTAGATTTTTTTTTGTTTTTAATTGTAATACAAAAATTGTGAAGTAAACGTGATTGCATTCTTCTGTTTCCTAGCAAGTTAAGAACAGTAACGCGTAGGTTTTTTTCTCTGTCCTATGTGAAAACTATTTGGCTGAGATGACAGAGAGCACTATATTATTGTGTATTCTTGACCTGTGCGTGCTATTTTAACTCGACATTTTCTTTCTTTTGATCTAATCTACTTACCATTTTTGTTTACAAGGTGGGCAAACGACCACAGTTGACCGACGAGCTAGAGGCTTTGAGGTCGTCGAGTGAGCACGAAGTAGCTCAATCTGGTGTAGAGCTGGAAGAAAAAGAAGCCAAATTAGATGCTTTGCATTTCCTTGTTGACTTGTTCCATCGATGTACTGAGGAGAACCCAATGGACCGACCAACTGCGGAAGAGCTCCATGAAAGGCTGCTTTCACACACAAGCAATCTAACCAGTAAAAGAAGTTAAGAACAACACCGTAGGTTAAAATTGTAGGTAAGTTATACCCACCAAAAATTTTTGTAGACTTAGAAATCTTGTACCATGCGGATGTATCGCTTAGATAGTTAAACTATTCTTGGCTTTGCCCAAGAATCATTGTTGTTTCAAAAGGGTTCGGCAGCTACGCCGGCAAAACATTCTTAAGAATTTTAATCGAGATATTTACAAATTTGTTAGGTAGGTCTGTTTCTGGTGAAGGCAATGGCTTAGCGGGTCGTGTAATTTACCTCGAGTTAGTAACCTGATAAGGTTAAAAAGCTGCCCAAAATTTGATTTGCCGTTGTGGAGTTCCTGTTGTAATGTTCCAATTACACTCATATCTTGTTATTGTAAGAGTACTAGTTATTATGAGAGTTCTCTTAGGTTTATACTTGAATTAGAAAAATTCTTTTGGATATTTTGTTGTTTTTCCTCCATTAACTGTTCTCTAAAAAAATCTTTGATACATGATAATTCAAGTTTGTTACTAACGTTTGAGTTGGTAAGAAGCTTTGTCGCAATAGTTGGACAATTTTAAGTCGCAAAATTTTCCCCCGTATTTCTTAGGTTAAACGACTGGGAAAAGAAAAGGATAAAAGTCACAAAAGCACTTGATCATATGTGTGTGTGTGTGTGGCGAGGTTAAAAATCGATAGGATTGAAAAGAAAAGGATAAAAGTAACAAAAGCACTTGATCATATATATATATATATATATATAAATGATATATGTGTAGCGAGGTTAAAAATCGATAGGATTTTGATTTCTCTGTGCCTCGCAGAACATGGGAAGATGTTCTACCTATAATATATACTTGTGTTGCACAGTTTTGTTTCTCCAAAGAATAAGATATAAAGATATATGTGTGTGAATATATATATATATATATATATATACACGTACGCATATGTGTATATACGTGTATAAGTTTTACATTTTTAAGGGAAAAGAGAAAAGAGCGCTCATGAACGTACCTACTTGGTGGCACATGCAGCAGCACGAGTGCTCATAATTGACCCTAGCCGAAAGAACTTTTCTTTCCTTCAAAGTGTGAGACAAAAAAGATGCAATAATATATGTAACCTTGTATGGACCCTTGTTGCTTTGAAACTAATCCACCTCACACTTGTCAATTACTTTTAAAATTGGAGAATTGTAATATCCAATTAGTACAAGTTTTCCTCTCTCTTATATATCTGGAAAAGTACCCGATGTGGCGAGGTTAAAAATCGAGGATTGAAAAGAAAAAAAGAAAAAAAAAAAAAGAGCTCGAGATCATATATATATATATATATATATAAATGATATATGTGTAGCGAGGTTAAAAATCGATAGGATTTTGATTTCTCTGTGCCTCGCAGAACATGGGAAGATGTTCTACCTATAATATATACTTGTGTTGCACAGTTTTGTTTCTCCAAAGAATAAGATATAAAGATATATGTGTGTGAATATATATATATATATATATATATACACGTACGCATATGTGTATATACGTGTATAAGTTTTACATTTTTAAGGGAAAAGAGAAAAGAGCGCTCATGAACGTACCTACTTGGTGGCACATGCAGCAGCACGAGTGCTCATAATTGACCCTAGCCGAAAGAACTTTTCTTTCCTTCAAAGTGTGAGACAAAAAAGATGCAATAATATATGTAACCTTGTATGGACCCTTGTTGCTTTGAAACTAATCCACCTCACACTTGTCAATTACTTTTAAAATTGGAGAATTGTAATATCCAATTAGTACAAGTTTTCCTCTCTCTTATATATCTGGAAAAGTACCCGATGACGTAATTTAAGGACCGTTTAGTTCGTTGATTTGAGTTTTTAATTCGAGTTGAGATGTGATTTTGTGTGAGAGCTTTTTATTGTAGCAAAAAAATTAGATGTGACTGTTTCTGAGTCTTTTTACTGTAACAAAACTCAAAATCTAAACTCGAATCGGTAAAATAAACATGGCTTAATAGCAGCAACATATTCCATTGTCATCTGTGTCTAATGAAATATGTAGGATGAGAAATCTCAGACAGCAAAACAAACATCCTTACTCATACTATAGATGATTCTGTCATGCAGTAGACCAAGGGAGCCAATAGCTTCAATAACCTCCTTGGACTCTACTTTTATAAATAATTACATTTTGACACGAGAAAATTATTAAATTTATCCTTAAAATATATGAGTCTGGATTTTAATATCTTATTCTTAATTAATACCTTTTTAAATAAAATCGTGTTTAATTAAAAAAATATTAATTAATAATAAAAAATAAAATTTTAGACCATACATTTTAAAAGAGTATTTATCTCTTTTTCTCTTCTCACACCTACAAGCTCTAGCAAATCAAATAGGCCAAGATGATCACCAAGTATTCTTTGGACCTCGAGCCATCTACAAAGAGGCTATCTGTGGTATTCACAAGAAAATCCACAGGAGAACGACCAGGCCTCGGCAAACTTGAAATAAAAAAGAAATAAAATCTTCTCTCTTTGCTACCATAAAACCGATAGTCTACCGAAATCTCATTCTAAAGAGAAATTATGAGTCTGAATTTTTACTTTTTATTTTTAATTAATACCCTTTTAATTAATATAGTTAGTTGATTAAAAAAAATATTTATTAATAAAAATAAAAAATAAAAATAAAGACTCATACACTTTAAAAAATATTTGTCTTCTTTCTCCGTTCCAAATCATATTAAGCTGAGTGCACCACAATTAGGATTCTACACTATTTCCAAAGGAGAAGTTTATGATCTCGTTCACTTCGCGAATTCGAGTTTTTAATTCGAGCTGAAATATGATATTTTCTAAGAGTTTTTCACTGTAGCAGAAAAAGTTAGATGTGACATTTTCTGAGAGCTTTTTACTGTAAAAATCTAAAACTGAAAATTCAAATCGGTGAAATAAACTATGCCTATATGATTCATAGAGCTTGGGCTTCCACAAGTTCTTCCATTGCTTCACTAGTTGGAAGGACATTTACGTTTCTTTTGTTTTTTGTTTTTTGTTTTTTTTTCTTGGTTTTTTTTTTTTTTATTTTCTAAGTGAAGGAATTAAGTCAACTTATTGAATCTTAATAAGTAAAGGTTCCTTATTAAACATCCAATAAGCTGACTTAACTGAAAATGAACCACTCCAACTAGCCAGCCAAAACAAGGAATCATCTCTTTTGAAAGGTGAAACTTTCTAATATTTGCCGCAATGAATTGATAAGAAAAAAAAAAAGGGTTCCTGAAAATTAGAATTACTTTCAGTTTGCTTTAAACCTTAAAACTCCCACAAGTTCTTTCATTGCTTGGGCTTCACTAGTTGGAAGAACATTTACTTTTTTTTTTGTTTGTTTGTTTTTTTTTCTTTTGTTTTTTTTTTTTTTGTTTTTTGCTAAGCGAAGGAATTAAGTCAACTTATTAAATCTTAATAAGTAAAGGTTCCTTATTAAACATCCAATAAGTTGACTTAACTGAAAATGAACCACTCCAACTAGCCAGCCAAAACAAGGAATCATCTCTTTTGAAAGGTGGACGGTGAAACTTTTTAATATTTGCCGCAATGGATTGATAAGAAAAAAAGGTTAATCTTACTAGTGTCTTCTGAAATTTAGAATTACTTTCAGTTTGTTTTAAACTTTAAAACTCCCACTTTGCTTTTTAATTTTTTTTTATTTAATCCCACTTAACCGCTTTTATTTGAATTTATGTTAAAAACAGACGAGAAAAATCATGTATATAGATGCGGTTACTTGATCTAGCAGAAATATCATGTGATCACATTGTTCCTTTTTTTTTCATATGTTTTTAATCGAAATTTAACAGATGGAGGTCAATGTGATTATTTTAAAATTTAAAAGGGCAAAGTAATAATTTTTAAGATTTAGATGGTAAATTAGGAATGACTCAAAAATTTAAGGAGCAATCAATTCAAAAATGGACATCAACAAAGTAAATGGAAATAGTAGAAAATAGGCCAATATGAAAAGCTTAAGGAAGTATATAGGCCAACTTTTAGTTATAGAAATTAATAGGCCATAACTTGTCAAGTTATGATTCATAACCAGATAAGTTATGGACAAACTTGTCAAGTTATGGTTCATAGCTAGACAAGTTATGGACAAAAACCGTGATTTATAGGCAATAACTTGTCAAGTTATGGTTCATAACCAGACAAATTATGGATGAAAATAGTAATTTGACCTATTTATTAACTTATGTAAACTATTGGCCTATTAATTTTAATTCATCTCAAATTTTGGTATATTTCCCTCTTTCTCCCCAAAGTAAATTGGTGACAACCCAAAGATTCCCGGGTCGTAAGTCATTAGCTTGAAAAGGGCACCCGTCATCTGAGGGAGAGATTCGGATCAGAATAATATTACAATGAACCAAAGCTCTTTTAGAACGCCCCCTAATACCTTTCCAAACCCAAGACTTTTTTACTAGCAACAAAATTTGTGACTTAATTTCTAGTGTGTGATTAACATCAAGTTATATTAAAACATAAAAACAAAGGAACATACTTAAAAAGGAACAATTGCTCTCATAAACGAGTACAACTTAGAAAAAGGTTTGAACTTAATTAAACTGTTTGGTTCAAACCCATGAAACAATCAAGGGATTAGTATCTACTTTTTCTTTTTTTTTTTCCTTTTCTTCTTTTCCTCTATACCCTACCTTCTAATAACGTTTAATCTTAACAAGCTCCTTAATCCCACGCCACTTGTTCTCCTTTGCTTTTTTATTTGTAAGAGGATAGTTAAATAGTGTCTTTTTCCCCTTTACTCTCTCTCTCTCTCTCTCTCTCTCTCTCTTGTGGGGGTGTTTTGCCTCTTCATATCCCACAGATTTCTCAGTATAGCAGCTCAGCCAGCACTTATAGCACAAATAATAGAGAGGACCACTCTATTCATGTACTTGTTTAAACTCTGCCATTCTGGAAGTGGGACCAATATATATACATATATATATATATATATTATATAGCTTCCAACAAGCTAGGTTTTATAGGGTTTCCAGGGAACACACTTCAAAGATACCCCTTCATCTCTCTCTCGATTTCCTTTTTTATTTTTGGCAGTGGTTGATCAGATCAGATTTATACAGGTATAATCTGAAGGAAATAGCACACATATATCTATATACATATACATACATACATACACACACACATATATGTATATATATGTATGCATAGCGAGCCCCAAAACGATCAGTGTCCTCGGGGATTACAAGCCTGGTTTTACGTGTTGTATTGTCGTGATTTGCTCACCGATATTTGCCAGTGCTGTAGCAATAAGATTTGTGTCGTTTTTCTAGTGGAAAAGGAGGTGAAAACGGGTGTGTAAGTGTCACTTCATATTTGCATATA